AAGGTGCGGAGCGCCTGACAACAGCCGAACAAGGTTTTGGGGCTCAGGGTTTTAGGGTTTAGGGTTCAGGATTTAGGGTTTAGGGTTCAGGGCTTAGGATTTAGGGTTCAGGGTTTAGGGTTCAGGGTTCAGGTTAGGGTAGGGTTTAAGGGCACTTACTGTCATGGCCTGTATAATTACCTATACTAGCTTGGGGCTCCTTATTATAGGTATAGTATAATGGGCCCCCCAAGCCCTATTTTAAGTATGAAGGCCCCTACAGTACTACGGCTGATGATCTAGATCCTGCATGACCCATAACACGGACTATACCATGATTCCCATAGTTTAGGGTCCTTAAGGTAATGCAGGATTTATATCATCAACCGTAGTTTTGGTTTTGGTGGATACACATATACATACATATATAAATATAAATATAAATATAAATATATATATATATATAAATATAAGTATATATATATATATAGATATCTCTACATAGCAAACATTGTTTTCGCAAAGTCATCTTAATACATGGCGACACAATGTTTTACAGGACAGCATGATACTGTGCAGCTCAGTACAGCGCATCGCAATATGGAAAGGTTCGGGCATATCCGACACGTCAGACTTACTTATGCTGTAATGCAGGAGTGCCATGCAGTATTCACATCTACATCTTGTAACATCCAACAAGCTCGCGAACGTGTTACGAGGTTGCTTAGCAGTTCCATGTCGTGCGCTAGCCTTAACTGTTGAAGCCATGCCTCCAAGCCTAAGCCGAAGCTTTACACCTTTTGAGAACCTCGAAATCGCAACCCCAACCCGGGCAGGGAGCCTTCAAAGAGCGGTTGGAGTCGACACGGAGAAACGACTTCAAGGTACCGGTCAAAAAGGGGATCCTTTTTGGTTTGGTCGCGGGCTGACGACTGGGGCTTGGGGATTTCCTTGGCGTTTCTTTTGTGGTGGGGTTTCCACAACGGCCTAAACTAAGCCCTGAACCGGCGACAATACACCCAACACCTCACGCCTGGAGTGCCCCGAATCCGAGTTCTGGAATGAAAAGGCGCCGTACAGAGCACTCGCACAAACCCACGAGGGCTGCCGGCGCATTACCCTTACACCCTAAACCCTGAACTCTTAAACCCTGAACCCTTAAACCCTTATATAACCCTAAACCCTAAACCTCCAAGCCCCTAAACCCCAAATCCTGCCACTGTACAGAAAAACCAGGGTATTTGCTCCCTCTGGGCCGTCTACTCGGATCTGCTGCTTTGCTGCTGGCCGCTGATAAGCGAGGACATGCTTTTCGGCGAAAGTAGAGACCCTGAACCCTAAACCCTAAACCCTAAACCCTAAACCCTAAACCCTAAACCCTAACAACCCTAAAAACCCTAAAAACCCTAAAAACCCTAAAAACCCTAAACCCTACACCCTAAGCAGAGCCCTAAATCTCCACGGAAGGCTCCTCTTTTTTCTGGTTTCGGCTGCTTGGATGAAAGCTTCCAGAGCATCCTGCACCGTCTCTCGAGCTCCCAGAGACTCCCAAGGCTAAATCTTGGCGTCAACGAAAACTGGAACCATGGTTTAGGGTTTAGGGTTTAGGGTTTAATGAACATGACAATCTTGTTCAGGAGAATTCTCCATAGAGATAGGTAGGTAGATAGATTGTTCAGGAAGAGTATAATTGCGGCAACCATCAGTATCATTATCACAGTCATCGTCTCAAGCAGTACAGGCCCAGACACTTGTCTCGGAATGACGAAACAAGCTGAACGACATAAGCATCTAACAGTAGCACCCGAAACCCCTAAACCCCTAAACCACTAAACCCTAAACCCCTCAACCCCTGAACCCCTAACCCTAAACCCTAAACCCTAAACCCCTAAACCCCTAAACCCCTAAACCCCTAAACCCTAAACCAAGGTTAGGACAAGGAGCCACGTCACACATCAGGTCGGTTGTCGCATTCATGATTTTAGGCTGCGCTCCTCATCTTCAGGCCCCAAAGCTTAAAGCCGAGTGTAGGGGCCTTCATATTTACCAATACTACTGTTTTGGTGGGTTCCTTATTAGAATCACAGGATAGTGGGCCCCAAGACCCTATTCTAATCATTAAGGCCCCTACCCTAAACCCTCATTCTAGAAACCCTTATAGTAACCCTTTTAAAGGAACCGTATTCTAGTTATTAAGGCCCCTACATTAAGCCCCGGACCTTCCGCCTTATCTCAGGTTCAAGACGCCGCAATTCTGGGCGACGGCCGTGGCATCTGGCATTTTCCGCTTCTGCGCTGCCCCTTCGCCGCGGGCCAAGATTTGGGTTTAGAGGGTCTAGGAGGGTTCCTGAAAGGGTTCTGAAGGGTTGTATAGGTTTTGGGGCTTACTGTACGGTTTCGAGGAAATAGTTGCTTTAGGCTGGGGGTTTAGGAACGAGCCTTCAGGGACGGAGTGGCAAGCGTGGGTCGAGCCGCCTTCGTACCATGGAGCCGCACCGAAAGCAACACCTAAAAGGGGGTTTGTGACAGTGCTTTTGCCTGCTTTTTGGTTTGATGATGCTGTACCCGAAAGGGGCTCAACCAAAGCAGCACAGTTATATCCGCATGCAAGGGAAAAGTAGCTCTGGTCAGGGTTGTGGTCGTCGTCGTGGTGGTCGTGGGTTGTCATCGAAAGCAATTGCCGCCTGCTCGTGATATTGCTTAGTGCCTTAGTGCGATCACGGAAGACACGATGATCGGATGTCCACTCCTTGCTTGATGGTGATTATAGTGACGGTGGTGCGGTGATATGTAGCGGTGCAGAGGAGCAGAGGACAAGGCAAAGCCAAGGGCTTCGAAGTTGCGAGGTCTGCTTCGAAACTGGCATTCTGATCAGAGCCAGCGGCGACAGCATTCTGTTCTGCCAAGTAAACGCTTCAGGCAGCCTGACGCCAAAGGCGGCTCCAATCCGTGACGGAAGCATTGAGACTCAAGTGCCCAAGCAAACGCTTCGCGCTCAGCCAGACTGAAGCTCGCATCCGAACCCGAAAAGACCTGGGTGCCGAGGTTTCGTCTCGAAGTGCATCACATCAACTGGGTGATCCTTCTGGTCAACATGCTTTGCCTAGCGATAGGCCGGGGCACTGGCCTGCACATTTGCGAGAGTGCCGCTCTTGCCGTTTTGACAGCTACTTCAAGCTCTGTCAGTCGGTTAACCCTTTGGTTGAAGTGCGCCTGCAGGGGTGAAGGCTGCATCATAACAGACAGCATTTTTGGCATATACACTTACCAAACCGCAAGGGAAGAATCACCGAAACGTGTCATGATGTACACGGTACAAGACTGCCCCGGGCAATGGGCTTTGCATCTCCTGGCCTGAATTCTAAGTCCCGGAGCTTACCTGCGATTACAAAGCACATAGCATAAGATAACAGAATATATTGTACAAGAAGGCAATCTGGCATGAGATGATCTAATATACTGTCATATGATATAATACAACATAGTACAACATAGTATAGTATGGTATGATATATATATATATATATCAACATATATATATATATATACATATCATGTAATACAAAATATCAAAAACTTGTTACACCATAAAATACAATACTACATGATATAACATGATATGATGTAGTACAATCTGATGTAACAACATGTGTTAACACGTGACATAATATAATACAATATGGTGAGACATCACATAACCAAATGCAATATGCAACATATAAAATATGCGTTATATTATGTATATAATGCTTGTACTGCCGTGTCATCATCTAGCCTCCAGGTCCTGACCCTCCCAAACAGTACACTTCAGTAGACCCTAAACCCCAACCCTAAACCCTAAACCCCACAACCTAGACCCCCAAAGCCCCAACCCCAACAGGCAACCTAAACCGTAAACCCAAGCCCCCTGAACCTAAAACCCTAAGCGCCCCTGCCCTAAAGCCCAAGCCCTCAAGCCTAACCTCAAACCCTGGACGGTTTTTTGAAACCCAGAAGATTCAACCCTCCGAGCTTTGTGCAGGCTTTGGCGTCCCTCGGCAGCTCTTCCCTGTCTTGGCAGTGGGGCGAGTCTCCATCGGCGTCTTCTCGCCGGATCCTTGGCCCAAGACCCAAGGAATCCCTGCTGGGAAGCTACCAAGAACCGGCGGCCCAAACTTCGATTTGTTTTATACTATGTTATAATACAATAACAACATATGTGTATATATATATATGTATTTGTACATACATGTGTATATAGAACATAGTGTAGACTGTGTTTTGTATTATATATAAGAGAACCCCAGCCAGATTCGTAATCCTGTACGGTTCAGCAGGACTGTCGCGCGCGATCTAAGCCTCGACCAGGAGCCAGTGCAGGTGTTGGGGCTCAATGCAGTTCTGTCACCGCAGCCTGGATGCAGCTTCAGATATCTTCTTCTGTTATGCTATGCCTGTTGCCAAACATGACTACGGTATTGCCGGACATCATTGAGCACTCAGTCGTTTGTGTGTATATATATGTGAATATCTATCTATCTATCTATATACACACATGCAATTACCCCCTTTTCAGCCTGTATCCTGGAGGTGTTACTTTATGCTGGCCTGGAGACAAGAGCGTACCTACGACGCCACCAGCTGCCCGTGCACATCATGAAGCCTTAGGTCGAGGATGCACGGTTCAGAACTTGGGTCACTTGGGCTTGGCCTCAGGAAACTTGTGCTTGAAGGGTGCAGTTGTCATGGCTTTGGGCATCAAGCTGAGGGTTTTTCAAGCTTTACATGTGCTTTCTCAGCCTGGCCCAGAAATTGTTTAGGTACCCTTAAAAGGGACCCCATACGGTTGATGATATAAATCCTGCATTACCCATAAAATGCCCATAGTTTAGGGTCCTTAAGGTAACGCCGGATTTATATCATCAACAGAGGGACCCCAAGTTTGAGACTCTTATCAGACGCATCCTCATACAGCCTCGATAAGGAGGCTCTTCTACTCTGCTTCCTAGAGGGTCCCCATATCGGTAGTTCTTTCTAATTTATGGTCCCTTTTAGGTCCCCAACATAGTACGGCACCCTTATAAAAAGAACCCCCAAAAGGGACCCTAATTTAGAGAATTACCCACATACCGTTATTGTGGAAGTAGGTTCCCAAAGCCAAAATAAGGATGGTCTTCAGGGACCTAATTCCAAAGTGGTCGTATCAAGCTCTTCTTAGAGCCTCCCTGAACCCCAAAGCCTTTCCCCTAAGCCCCAGACCGTAAAAGACCCTAAACCCTAAAACCTAAACCTAAACCCTAAACCCTAAACCCTAAACGGACCTAAACCCCAAACCATAAACCCAGGTTTGTAACCCTCATTAACATGAGCCTCTGGGCTTGGCAATCAGGTTTGGCCAGTTGCATTATTGCAGAGCTCTTCGTCCTTCTGCAACTTGCGCTCATCCTGCCACCCTGGCATGAATGCGGGCGGACCATACTTACCTATACTGTTTTGGGGTCTTCCTTATTATAAGTATAGTACAACATAACCCCAAACCCTATTCTAAGTAAAACGGCCCCGACATTAGACAGAGTCCGCATTCAAGGAACTCAATGCCTGCAACCAGATTTAGTGAGGGCAGAGGTTTTCTTCGTGCACGGCTTTTCCGACTGAGGGTTTATTGTGGAGTTCGCCTCACTGCAATGGGCAAATCTGCTGACCTCTCGTTTTACAGCTGGACACTGTAAATGACAGTGTTTGAAGGCTGCAGCTCCCACAGAGCACCCGAAGCCCCACGCAAGACCCGGTTTACCCTAAACCACAGCTTTCGTAGAGGCCATCCCGAAAACCCTGTTGCAAACCCTGACGCGCAGAGAATTCGGCTTGTCTACGAGGGCCACAGCAACCGAGGCAATTTGACAGGTTTGCATGAGAAATAAGAGATGTTAGCCGGTCGGAAAGCTGCGCTTTCTTGCTTGAAATTGTTGGGGAATTCGCAGAGCGAAGCAGGATGATAGAAATCCTCTCCAGCACGGCAGCGTCATGCTAGTGCTAGAAGCACTGCGTTTACCGCTGCTGCTGCTGCTACTACTACTACTACTACTACTACTACAGAATCACGAAGAGTTCGACCGGGATAGTCAGCATTAGGACAAGCGCGGCAGTACAAGCCAATAGTAGGAGCCTAGGAGCAACCCTAGTCACGGCAGCAACAGCCATGCCACTAGCAATCCACGCATCGCAAGAGCAAGACGAAGGGTCATGGGAGTAGCGGTGGTAGTCGTAATGACAAGCGGACTGATTTGGGGGTTTCCAAAAATAGGGCACCCTAATATAGTACCCTAAATAATAGGTTCTTTATTATAAGGACCCCAAAATAAGGTACCCATTATTTCGGAAACTCCCATTTGGGGGTTTCCAAAAATAGGGGACCCCAGGATGGTACCCTAAACAACAGGATCCTTACTATCAGGACCCCAAAATCAGGTACCCCTAATTTTCGGAAACTCCCGTTTCAAATTGGAGCAGGGCGATTGTTAGTATCCGCCCTATGTGCCGCCAGGTTGAAGCTGCAGGGCAATCTTCATGAGCTGGCAGCGACAGTTCGGACGGAGTCGCGACTTTGCGACGTGGAGGACTCCGAGCAGCTTCGGGTGTTGAGGCTTTCAGGCTTCAAGGGGCTCGAGTTGAGACGTTGAGGCCTTGGTGCTTTTGAAAAACACGGATGCACATTGCTGAAGGTGCTGCTTGAGTAGGTTGCTGACAGGCTTGTCCACCGTTGTTGTAGGCAGTCATCGAAGATCGGTGTATGGTCTTGCAATGGAGTATGATCATGCATTGTGCTGGCAGCGCACTGTCTAGAGCATCGTGGCGCTAGCTTTCACAGCCGAAGCTTCTCAACCCTTTAACCTGAAGAGCCGAAGCCCTGAACGTCTGGGTACTTCCTGCCAGCTTCGGCCATGCTGGGTTTGTTAGATGTAAGTCTCAGACCCTCTGTTCTGAACACAGGCCTTTCCGAGCTGGAAAGCCGAGAATGGGGAGTTGAGAGGGCATCATGTTGGTCAGGATCCTTCATATTGGTTGGCCGGAACCATACATCTGCCCATCAAATTAGATCCTGAAGGCGCGAAACCTTTCGGCAGGCATCGGGGTTGGCTGCCCGGAAGCTCGTCACTGTCACTTGTGATGCTTTCGTCCGGCTGCCACTTCGCTGCGCTCAACGGTGGTTGGGTTTCTGCAAAATTGGAGGGTTGTGAGTGTGGTTATATGTATATATGTATGCATATATATATATATATATATGTATATGTATATGTATATGTATATATATATATATGAGATGTCAATAAATATAGACTTCAATATACTATGCGCCGGATCTCAAAACCCAGAATCGTCACATCATGGCTAGCCAGACCCACACCTCAACCTTTGGTCCAAAATCCCTAAACCCTAGACCCTACGCCCCAAAGCGTGCACCCTAGTCCTGAACCCTGAACCCTTACCTTCAAGCCTTAACCCCAAAGAAAGCCCAATCCTCTGCCCCAGTTCACCATTGAGAATACTGGGAGGGTCGGGGGACTTGGTAGAACCCAGAATCCTTTAAAAGGAACCCTTGCGGGAAGCCCTTACAGGAAGCCTCAAAGTGGCGGCATAAGGGTACCCAGCTTAGGGTGGAGGGGTGTGGGCCGGGGGGACTTCGTAAGCAGGTACGAAGGGTTCCTTTTGGGGGTACTGCGAGGGTCCAAGAATCCTTTTACCCTCTAAGTGGAAGCCTTCATCATCAGAATTCGGTTTCGGCAAATGTAAGAATGTGGTGATGGTAGGGATCTAGGGGCTGTAAGGGGGCCTCACTTGCCCTCCCTGCTCCTTCGCTTGCCTCAGGACATCTTCGCTTACGATCCTGGAGCCTCATCAGTGCCAACGCCTAGACGTTTAGGGGCTTTAGCTGCTAGGGTTTGGCGTTTTGGGGTTTAGGGGCTCGGGTTTACGGATTGGGGTTTAGGGTCTTGGGTTTGAGAGGTGAATGAACCAAGCCTAGGGTCTCAGTGATAGTTTAGGGATTCGGGTTTAGGGTTCAGGGGGTTTTGAGTGGATCTGAAGAATCTGAAGTTGATTTCTGAATTCAGTATTCGTTGTTTTAGAATGAGAAAGACCCCTAAGCTAAAAAATATAGATCCTTACGCCAACTTATAGAACCATACACAGCCGTAATATCGGGGTCGGAATCAGTTCCAAAGCTATTCCCTAGGAGAGAACAACATACCCTGAACTCCTATTCTAATCATTATTGCTTGAAGCCCTGTAGAACTGGTATAGCCCCGCAAAAGGAACCCTTTAAAGGAACTCTATTCCCAATACCAAGCCCCGTAGATCGTAGCCTTACCAAGCCTTGTAAGTTGTAAGGAATTGCGTTAAGTTACCATAGCTTAATAGGGATCTATAGTACATACTACGGTTTGTTTATGGGTTTGCTCATTGGGCAAGTTAGGACCCGAGGCTTACGAAGTAAGGCTATAAAAGTCCATTCGTTGGAGATAGAAGCAAGTAGAACTATCGTTACCTGATGAATAACCCTGGTTTCTAGCCCTAAACCCTAAACCCTAAACCCTAAACCCTAAACCCTAAACCCTAAACCCTAAACCCTAAGCCCTTATGGTACCCCTATAGATCCCATCAAGGGAGCCCTAAATCAAGCGTTACTAAGCCCCCCGATCCTCTTAGCAAGAGCACAGAAGCCGGAAAAGGCAGAAGTTCCCAGCGTGTTCGGTCGATTTCTGAGTCTTGGTTCTTTTGGGTTTACGGTTTTGTTTTGAACTTGGGTGTTTGCATGGCTTGGGTTTAAGGTTTGCTTTTTTGATTTTGGGTTGTGGGCAGAAGTCCGTCGACTGCAACTCCCGAAATGTTGATCCTCAAACCCAGCACAGGCCTAAACATGGAATGAACCCTAATGTGGGGCTTTAATAGCCTTAATTGTCAATTAGAAAAGGGTTTTGTGTGTATTATACTATAACTATAACATGGAACCCCCAAAATAGTATTGGAACGTGTTCAGGCCCCTATATTATGCCTTTTTCGACCCGACTCCCAGAGATGTGAAGCCCCTGTGGCGGATCCCTAAAACCTAGAAACACAGCCCTAAGCCCCAACTCCAAGGCTAAGGCCAAAACCCGCAACCCTAAACCCTAAAGCCCAAACTCTAATGCCTACACCCAAAACCCAAAACTCCAAAACCCTAAACCCTAAACCCAACCCCTAAGTGCCCTACTGTTCGAAGGGCACTTAAACCCCAAAAACTTAAAAAACTGCCAAGGCGACTAGTGGACATGCTGGGTGCGAAGAAAGAAGCTCTCGAGGGCCAGTGCCCGGGCTGATTGCTCGAGCAGAAGTGATAGTCGTCGTAGTTAGGGTTTAGGGGTTTAGGGTTTAGGGGTTTAGGGTTTAGGGTTTAGGGTTTAGGGTTTAGGGTTTAGGGTTTAGGGTTTAGCAGTAGCAGTAGCAGCAGCAGTTGGTAGTTTCGAAAAATTCGCAGTGTCTTAGTAAGCAGGGTCCCGAGCGCCGAGGTTCATAGGGTCACGATCCGCGTGTTCAACCCTCACTCCGTATCCCTCGAGTTTCACTGGAAGCCCGGGCCGAAAATTTTGCAAAGCTCAGGTCGTTCATGAACTATGTCAGCTCCAGTGATCGAGCTCGTCGCTTGGAGACATTTCAGTCTTTTGCACAGTCCGTGGCCACCGGATGCAGAATTTGCCGAATCAGTATCTAAGACCAGGCATGGTCAGAACCACCACCGTTGATAGAACACGATGATGACTATGATGGTCATTGTCCGCACTATCAGAACAGCCGACACAGAACACGGGTCCTTTGGGCCCATCGCTGTGGTACGTTTCGGTAAGCAGGCCGGTGTTTAGAAGCATCTGCAGTCCTGTATGCACAGTGAAAGAATTCAGTACAAAAAGGGTCGCGATGATGACGTTGCTGAGACCGTTACTACTGCAGCGAGGACAGCTCCTCGTCGTACTACCACTGGCACTGTGACTGCGACTGCTATTGCAGCAGCAGCTGCGACTGCGACTGCGACTGCTACTGCTACCGCTCCTCCTGCTCCTCCTTGTGGTCCTACTCCACCTCCCTACTACTGCTGCTACTACTACGACGGCTAAGACAACGACGACGACGACTTCTGCTTCTACCAATATGGCGACGACTAGATGTCTGCTGGTGGCCAGACTTGCGCGAAGTTCTCAAACCCTGATCCGGAATGACTGGACCCGGAGCCAAGAACCCCAGAGCCTCAAATATGATATATGTTAATGTCATGCCATATCGGGTCATGCCATCTCCTAACATATTATGTCATATCATGGGATATGGTATGGTATCATGGCATACATCCTTCTATATATATATATATACACATGCATGTATGCATGCATGTATGCATGCATGTATGCATGCATGCATGCATGCATGCATGCATGTACGTGTGTATGCATGCATGTATGTATGTATGTATGTATGTATGTATGTATGTATGTATGTATGTAAGTATGTATGTATGTATGTATGTATGTATGTATGTATGTATGTATATATATATATACATGAGATCCCAGGCACT